TCTTGCTTCATTGGATTGGAACTTGATGCTTTTCAAAACTGACCTTACTCTTTATGGAAGAGAACATCTTAAGTCCTTTTAATAGTCTAAAGACAAGGGACAGTGATAAATCAAGACAGAGAGCACTGGTATTTTTACACACACACACACACATACGTGCACTCACACATACACATGCACGCACAAATACCACACGGAAGAGTCATCCTGCACTTTCTGCCTCTCAGATAACATCAGGCTAGGCAGTGGGGATAGCAGTGGGCCTCTTTGAGCCCATAGTTTCATGGCCCCTTAAAGACTGTACTCTCCCAGGGAGGGTTTGGCCTGGGTTCTTGCATTTCCTGCAGGGAGAGCTGTCCCATGCCTGCATGGGAGGATTTGGTTAATCAACCCTTCATTCACAGCTACTGACTGAGCACAAGCAGGGTTCTGTGCTTACGCAGTGAGGAGCAGGAAGATGCACAGAGGGAGGCTCTGCTTGCTGTGGAAAGAGCTGAGTCGTGGAGGACTACACTTCCCCTTGGTTGCCTGCCCTCCACACCACCTTGCCCACCATAGCCAGAGGGACATTTCTCAACATTTGAAATGCAACCTGATTTTTCCACCCTTTTCCTTCCCTTCCCCTACTTGGCTTCAAACTTCTTTTCTCTTGGCTCCTGTGAGGCCCCAGCAGTTCCCTGATTTTCCTTTGACTTCACTGACTGCTGCTTATCAGCTTTCTGCTTGTCTCCTTCTCCTCTTCCTCTACTGAACCCAACCTCTAATGTTGACCAAGCAGGGCTCGGTCTAGTCCTCTGCCTTCTCTTCAATTCCCCTTCTTTCCCTGGATGTTACTGTCTCCTTCAGTGGCTTTAAATACCATCTGCATGCTGATTAGAGATCTTTCTACTAAACTTTGCAATGGAATATCCAATTGTTTGACATTGCCATTTGGCAGTTTAATTAGACATCTTACACCTAATATGACCGATTCAAAGATTCTTAATTTTTGTCACATCCCAAATGAAATATTGTTTCCCATCTCAATAAATGGCACCTGAAATCTACCTGGATGCTTAGGCCCCCAACTTGAGCAACCCTTGTTTTTGTTGTTTTTTTATTTTGGCAGCATTGTAGTTTGAACCCAGGGCTTTACACAGGCTAGCCAAGTGCTCTACCACAGAGCTGAACTCCTAGCCCCATGTTGATTCCTCTTTTAACCACAACTTACTCATGTTGGCACTACTTTCAAATATATACTCAATTCCAAATATGACTA